CTTCTGTAATGGCGCTCGGCATGACAGCCGGGTGCCCAGTGCGCATGAGCGAGAAGCACTTGCGCTTTGTGATTGGTCCGGCGGCTTCTGGGATCGGTCATGTGTCCCAGGTACCGCCTTACCATTCATAAAAAGCACCGCTTCTTGCGCATGCGCACTTGGCACCCGGCTGTCATGCCCAGTGCCCGCACTACACAAGCCGGGAAGACAGCGCGCCGCTGGATAGAGGAACAGGTAAGATCAAAGAACAAAGAAGTAAGAGCGGGTACCTGTCCAATTCAGGTACCCGCTCCCCACCTCCCCAAAGGTCAGCAGTCCTCTCCATAAGGTCCCGTTGCAGAGCTGAGCGGCTGGCCCGGTATTCTGCATGGCGGCGGTGGAAATATCGGACCGGCCGCTCTATATTCGCTCCATAAGACGCACTGACATTTTCCCCCCTTTTTTGGGGGGAAAAAAGTGCGTCTTATGGAGCGAAAAATACGGTAACTTTTAATAATATCTCTGCTAGACCTGAAACAACCTGGATGAAAACCCAGCCAGGACTCTATATTTACCCTTCCTTTTTTTCTCTCCCCTAACCCTTCCCAAACTCCCTCAACCCTCTTATCCTGTTCCTCATTTCTCACTCACCTACTTCAAAATAGTCTATAGAATTTTCTGCCAACCCTTCCCCACTATTAGAATACCCAATTACATTATGCTTACTCATATAACATCATAAAAATATTTATCCCATCTCTTACAAGTGACAACATACATATTCCATATCCCCTGAAAATTTCGGAATCATTTCTAATGTTGACTAATATCAATTTCTTTGGGGTTACTCCTTGAGAACACTAGAAATTCTGAAGGACCCTCTGCACACTGGTATATACCCTTTCAAGCAGACTATGCAATAAATAGGGATATTTAGTTCACACATATTGCAATACATGCTTAAGCTGGCCAACTGCGTCAAAGTAATCTCTCTATGGCCAGTCCTACTCTGCTCTGCCTACGCAAATGCTACTGTGGACACAATGCTAGCATAGGGGAAAAGACACAATGGGGAGAGCTACAAGGTTCAGGTCTGGCTACTGACCCAACAATACAACAACAAACAAGAGATCCCTGTGCTCAAATCCCAACAGATAGTACATGCATTTATCCATCAGGTGCTAAAGGGGTGTAACCACATATTAACACTCGAAATTCTGAAGGACCCTCTGCACACTGGTATATACCCTTCCAAGCAGACTATGCAATAAATAGGGATATTTAGTTCACACATATTGCAATACATGTTTAAGCTGGCCAACTGCGTCAAAGTAATCCCTCTATGGCCAGTCCTACTCTGCCTTGCCTACGCAAGAGTTACTGTGGACACAATGCTAGCATAGGGGAAAAGAACTAAATATCAGTATATAAAGGTCAGTAGCCAGACCTGAACCTTGTAGCTCTCCCCATTGTGTCTTTTCCCCTATGCTAGCATTGTGTCTACAGTAGCACTTGCGTAGGCAAGGCAGAGTAGGACTGGCCATAGAGGGATTACTTTGACGCAGTTGGCCAGCTTAAGCATGTATTGCAATATGTGTGAACTAAATATTCCTATTTATTGCATAGTCTGCTTGAAAAGGTATATAGGAGTGTGCAGAGGGTCCTTCAGAATTTCTAGTGTTAATATGTGGTTACACCCCTTTAGCACCTGATGGATAAATGCATGCACTAGCTGTTGGGATTTGAGCACAGGGATCTCTGTTTGTTACTCCTTGAGAAACACACACTGTTTAGATTACCAATTTATGACTTTTCTAGCTGCGCAAGCAGTCACATACAGTATATGTACAATGATTAAATGACATCCCTTTGTATGCATGCAAATTGGAAATGTTGGTATAGCTTATATTACTATTTTAATACAATGAAAATATGAAAAACTAAGTTAAGATAAAAGCTGATAAATTAATGCAAAATATCATGCATTTAAAAAATATCCTTTCTTGTCCTTAGTGATTTAGTTTCTACTATGCAAGATTGTTTTTCCACTCCTGCAATAATTCACTAATTGGACTCTTTAATTGAAGTGTTTTTTCATATAGTTTGCTTTTGTAGAAAATCTGTTGGTGCCCAAGCTCATTTGTTTTTGATCACATCATGAGAATCAAACTATACAGAGATCAGCCTAAATTCATTTTTCGGTAACTGTTCCACTCCTACTCTTCATTAGCACATAGCTTGCTTGAATGGGAAGATTTTTTAACATAGCATAAAGAGCTCAGTCTGGTGTTATCTAAAAGTAAGGAACCTGTGAATATCTTCAGTGAAAAAATGACTTTCTCATACCTCTGGTTATCATGCTGAGTTACTGCAGCTAGTTCAGTGGTTGTTTAAACTGCTATGTTTCCTTCTACAAGCTATTTTTAAAGCTGTCTGTTTGCCCCTGCGGGTGGTTACAGTGTGATGTCAAGTTGAAGTTCAGAAACAGAGTAGCAAGCATGGGCAGGCCTAGCCACTTCCTTCACCCACACATAACTTAAAACAGTTACGCTGAGATCACACTGGGAAAACCCACAGACCTTCCATGCTGTTAGAGCAGGTGCATGGGGTGAAGGAGATGGCACATTACTGCAAGAAATATCATTTTTTTAGGTAATATTTTTTATACAGCATTGGGAACCTGCAGCACACATCTTTCCTCTGAATGGACAGATTCTATTTTAGCAAAGAGCATTTCAGCTGATTACAGCTAAGACTAAATACTAAACAGAAAACAACTTTCATATCCTATTTACAAGGCTGTCTTTAGATAATATGTTGACCTTAGCAAGCATAAATCATTCTACTTTGAACTAGATCCCATTTTGTCATTAATTGTATACAAAAATGAATCTCATAAAAACTAAGATTAGAAAACCTCTATTGAAGGCAGACCATTTTCATATGTATAATTATGTTATAAATTACATTCCTTTTACTAAGCTATTACTTTATTTAGGTGATCCTTTTAAGTAGAGATGAGCGAAGTATTCAAAAATTCGATTCGACTGATTCGGCAAATTCGTGGAAAAATTTCGATTCGGTCACGGGGCCAAAACCAGAGTGTGGAGCCACAGTGTGGCGGTGGAGGCAGCAGCAATGGGAGGCCATACAGCACCCTATGACAAAAAATGGAAACCACCAGCAGTGTGAGGAGACCTGAAAGTGGCACATGGCAGAGTGTGGGCGATGGAGACAGCAGCAATGGGGAGGCCGTACAGGGACCCATAACACACTCTGGACCTGGCAGCAGCATGAGGAGGCGGTACAGGGGCCCATGACAGATTACGGGCCTGGCAGCAGCATGAGGAGTTGGTACGGGGGCCCATGGCAGATTACGGGCCTGGCAGCAGCAATGGGAGGCCGTACAGGGACCCATGACACACTCTGGACCTGGCAGCAGCAGCATGAGGAGGCGGTGATCCAGGGTACAGGGGCGCATGACAGATTACGAGCCTGGCAGCAGCAACTTGGACAGGAGGACGTTCAGCTTCTGCACCGTCGGGTGCGTGCTCGCAAACTGTTGTCTCTTGGAAACGGATTCCAAGAAAGACTGCTGACGGAATCCGTTGAAGAGGAGTAGCAGGAGAAGGAGCATCTGAACGAGCGGAATATGCCAACAAGCGACAACAGGGGCCATGACAGATTACGGGCCTGGCAGCAGCATGAGGAGTCGGTACGGGGGCCCATGGCAGATTACGGGCCTGGCAGCAGCAATGGGAGGCCCGTAATCTGCCAGCACCCTATGACAAAAAATGGAACACACCAGCAGTGTGTGAGGAGACCTGAAAGTGGCAAATGGCAGAGTGTGGCGATGGAGACAGCAGCAATGGGAGGCCGTACAGGGACCCATGAGAGACTCTGGACCTGGCAGCAGCATGAGGAGGGCGGGTACAGGGGCCCATGGCAGATAAGGGGCCTGGCAGCAGCTATGGGAGGCCCGTAATCTGCCAGCACCCTATGACAAAAAAATGGAACACACCAGCAGTGTGAGGAGACCTGAAAGTGGCACATGGCAGAGTTGTGGCGATGGAGACAGCAGCAATGGGAGGCCGTACAGGGACCCATGAGAGACTGTGGACCTGGCCTAGCAGCATGCAGGATGAGGAGGTGGTATTACAGGGGCCCATGGCAGATTAAGGCCTGGCAGCAGCAATGGGAGGCCCGTAATCTGCCAGCACCCTATGACAAAATGGAACCATGGGCTGGGGCAGGCAGAACCGCCGTATCTTTTTCACGGTTTTCCCAGGCCACCAAATGGCGACGCTGCATATGTTGAAGCAACGCTGTAGTCCCAACATGGGCCCCCTGGCCACGCTTGACTCTTTTCTGGCCACATAGTCGACATTACGGCTACGTTTACTTCCTCGGGGGGCTTGAACGAAAAATTGCCACACCGCCGAGTAGGAAAAACTTTGCCCCCGCTATGGCTGCTGGAGGCTCCTCACTGGCTGACTGCTACTTCCTCCGTGCACACCGGCACCACTACTGGCCGTGGTGGTAGGCTGCAGTGGAGCTGGTGCTCTACTCCGTGGCCGTTTGCCTCCACTGACACTGCTGCGGCCCTGCTGCCTCCTGGCAGCAGCAATGGGAGGCTTCGTACAGGGACCCATGACACACTCTGGACCTGGCTAGCAGCATGAAGAGGCGGTACAGGGGGGGCCATGGCAGATTAGGGGCCTGGCAGCAGCTATGGGAGGCCCGTAATCTGCCAGCACCCTATGACAAAAAATGGAACACACCAGCAGTGTGTGAGGAGACCTGAAAGTGGCACATGGCAGAGTGTGGCGATGGAGACAGCAGCAATGGGAGGCCGTACAGGGACCCAGCGTGAGAGACTCTGGACCTGGCAGCAGCATGAGCCATTAGCGAGGCCCCAGGTAGGTATAGGGGGACCATGGCAGCAACCAGCTATTAAGGGGCCCTTGGTGCAGAGGGGCTGGCAGCAGCTATGGGAGGCCCGTAATCTGCCAGCACCCTATGACAAAAAATGGAACACACCAGCAGTGTGAGGAGACCTGAAAGTGGCACATGGCAGAGGTGGCGACTGTGGACCTGGCAGACAGTCAGCATGAGGAGACGGCGGGTACAGGGGGGGCCATGGCAGATTAGGGGCCTGGCAGCAGCTATGGGAGGCCCGTAATAGTTCGCACTGCCAGCACCCTATGACAAAAAATGCAACACACCAGCAGTGTGAGGAGACCTGAAAGTGGCACATGGCAGAGTGTGGCGATGGAGACAGCAGCAATGGCCAGGGAGGCCGTACAGGGACCCATGACTGAGAGACTCTGGACCTGGCAGCAGCATGAGGAGAGGCGGTATAGGGGCCCATGGCAGATTAGGGGCCTGGCAGCAGCTATGGGAGGCCCGTAATCTGCCAGCACCCTATGACAAAAAATTGGAAACACCAGCAGTGTGAGGAGACCTGAAAGTGGCACATGGCAGAGTGTGGCACTGGAGACCCAGGCAGCAGCAATGGGAGGCCGTACAGGGACCCATGAGGAGACTGTGGACCTGGCAGCAGCATGAGGAGGCGGTACAGGGGCCCATGGCAGATTAGGGGACCTGGCAGCAGCAATGGGAGGCCCGTACTATGCCAGCACCCTATGACAAAAAATGGAAACACACCAGCAGTGTGTGAGGAGACCTGAAAGTGGCACATGGCAGAGTGTGTGGCGATGGAGACAGCAGCAATGGGAGGCGGTAATAGGCAGGGGACCCATGATGTAGACTGGACTTGGCCTGGCAGCAGCATGAGGAGGCCGGTACAGGGGCCCATGGCAGATTAGGGCCTGGCAGCAGCAGCAATGGGAGGCCCGTAATCTGCCAGCACCCTATGACAAAAAATGGAACACATGGGCTGGGCAGGCAAGAACCGTTTTTTTTCACCTATCACATGGCAGGTTAAGGTGGCACCTGGCAGGCCACCGATGTGGCGACGCTGCAACAGGTGACGCAAATGCTGTAGTCCACACAGGGCCCCATGGCAGCACGCTTGAAGTTTCTGGCCACATAGTCACATAAGAGGTAACAGCAGCAATAGGCTACGTTTTACCAGTATAGGGCGGCTTGACAAAAAGGCGGTAATACACCGGGCCCCATAGGAGATTGGGGCCTGGCAGCAGCTGGCTGACTGCCCGTAATCTGCCTCCGTGCACACCGGCAAAAAATTGAACTACTGGCCGTGTGGTGGCTGCCGTGGAGCTGGGTGCTCTAGTGGCCGTTTGCCTCCACTGACACCCTGGCGACCCATGCTGGACAGGCAGCAGCAATGGGAGGCCGTACAGGGACCCATGACAGACTCTGGGGACCTGGCAGCAGCATGAGGAGAGGCGGTACAGGGGCCCATGGCAGATTAGGGGCCTGGCAGCAGCTATGGGAGGCCCGTAATCTGCCAGCACCCTATGACAAAAAAATGGAAACACACCAGCAGTGTGTGAGGAGACCTGAAAGTGGCACATGGCAGAGTGTGGCGATGGAGACGCAGCAGGGAGAATGGGAGGCCGTACAGGGACCCATGAGAGACTCTGGACCTGGCAGCAGCTATGAGGAGGCGGTATAGGGGGCCCATGGCAGATTAGGGGCCTGGCAGCAGCAGCTATGGGAGGCCACGTAATCTGCCAGCACCCTATGACAAAAAATGGAACACACCAGCAGTGTGAGGAGACCTGAAAGTGGCACATGGCATGAGACACTGTGGACCTGGCAGCAGCATGAGGAGGCGGTACAGGGGCCCATGGCAGATTAGGGGCCTTGGCAGCAGCTATGGGAGGCCCGTAATCTGCCAGCACCCTATGACAAAAAATGGAACACACCAGCAGTGTGAGGAGACCTGAAAGTGGCACATGGCAGAGTGTGGGCGATGGAGACAGGCAGCAATGGGAGGCCGTACAAGGGACCCATGAGACTACTGTGGACCTGGCAGCAGCATGAGGAGGCGGTACAGGGGCCCATGGCAGATTTAGGGGCCTGGCAGCAGCTATGGGAGGCCCGTAATCTGCCAGCACCCTATGACAAAAAAATGGAACACACCAGCAGTGTGAGGAGACCTGAAAGTGGCACATGGCATGAGACACTGTGGACCTGGCAGGGCCTGCAGCAGCATGAGGGAGGCGGTGGGGGCCCAGGGGCCCCTGATGGCATTTGATTAGGGGCCTGGCAGCAGCTATGGGAGGCCCGTAATAATCTGCCAGCACCCTATGACAAAAAATTGAAACACACCAGCAGTGTGTGAGAGGAGACCTGAAAGTGGCACATGGCAGAGTGTGGCGATGGAGACAGCAGCAATGGGAGGCCGTACAGGGACCCATGAGAGACTCTGGACCTGGCAGCAGCATGAGGAGGCGGTATAGGGGCCCATGGCAGATTAGGGGCCTGGCAGCAGCTATGGGAGGCCCCGTAATCTGCCAGCACCCTATGTCAAAAAATTGAACACACCAGCAGTGTGTGAGGAGACCTGAAAGTGGCACATGGCAGAGTGTGGCGATGGAGACAGCAGCAATGGGAGGCCGTACAGGGACCCATGAGAGACTCTGGACCTGGCAGCAGCATGAGGAGGCGTACGGGGTACGGGGGCCCATGGCAGATTAGGGGCCTGGCAGCAGCTATGGGAGGCCCGTAATCTGCCAGCACCCTATGACAAAAATGGAACACACCAGCAGTGTGAGGAGACCTGAAAGTGGCACATGGCAGAGTGTGTGGACCTGATGGAGACAGCAGCAATGGGAGGCGGTACAGGGGCCCATGGAGACTCTGGAACTTGGCAGATTAGGGGCCTGGGCAGCAGCTATGGGAGGCCCGTAATCTGCCAGCACCCTATGACAAAAAAAATTGGAACACACCAGCAGTGTGTGAGGAGTGCCTGAAAGTGGACCCATGAAAGTGGCACATGGAGACACCCAGCAGTGTGAGGAGACCATGAAAAGGGCCCCTGTATGCAGCCAAGCGGTAATGACATGGCGGATTTAGTCAGTTGGGGCAGGCAGCAGCTATGGTGGTTTGAAATCCAGACCCTATGACAAAGCCTGATTCATTTTCAGCATGTGAGACGTGAGTCTCTCCACACTTTGGAGTGGACAGTCGTGTCCTTGGAGGCGCAGCATGGGCAGCAGCTTACATGGACCTCCTGCCGCACTAAACATCTGCGCACCCCCTATGACGAAACTGGCCGGGGTACACGGGGCATGACAGCCTTTCAAGGGCAAATTGAGCTAGTTGAGGCCCAAAGGTCAAGTTGGCGATGCCAGCCCAGTAGTCAATGGGATTGTCTACCTACAGTTGGCAGGGTGACCTGTCCAAGTAGGCACAAGACTGTTGTTTGAGGTCCTGGGCTCCATGTCCACCTGATGCTGCTGCTGCACCCTATGGAAAAAATGGTTACAGTTACCTGGCTGCAGCTGGGAGAAAGCTACTCATCAGGACTGCAGACTGAGGCAGCCGCTTGGAGGAGACTGGCTGGAGGCCACTGTCACTGCCACCCCCCCCCCTCCTTTGCTGCCATGGCAGCGGAGACGCGAGCGAACAGGGCCCATGGCAGTGTTGAGTGTGGAGGATGGACGGAGGCGCAGAAAGGCAGAGACCGTAATCTGCCTAGGCCTGGTTTTTTACAGGGACCCATGAGTTAGACTTGGACCTTGGCCACCCTCTCAGCAGAGGAGGAAAAAGGTGGCACCATTTTTGACAGGGTAGCGAGGGTCAGCAACAAGGTGGGCCCGCCAAAAGCCATCCCTCTGTCTGAAAAATTAGTTGTTCGGCTGTGTGAGGAGACCTGGAAGTGGCACATGGCAGCAGCGAGCATGCTATGGGCCATTTTGTGCCAAGGAATGCGAGGGACTCATGCCTGCCTCCATGGACTCCACAGCATACTGCCAGCGGTGCGTCTGGGTCCTCTGTCAATCCCCACCTCTTGAGGACCATCATGCTCCTGATGCTCCCATCCACTCCTTACTGTCCGCTGAGTGAAAAAAAATACCACCCATTTCACTCAATTAATTCCTGAGCACAAGCAATGGGAGTCCCTATACCTCCTCCTCTTCTGTCAAAGTCCTGCCCACACCAGGGGTCATGTGGCGGGAGATCTGGCTGTGCGCCACGTCTACCGCACCCTGACAACCAGCCATTGGAACAGCATTTGTTCCAGGACGTGCAACAGAGGAATGACGTCTTCATCCCCCATAGTCCTGCCGAGCAAGCCTTGTGAGAGGCCACGAATAGGTGGCCTCCTGGCAAATTAGGGGCCTGAGCAAGCGCGCCCAGGTGTCGGACGCATGAGCTGCCCCTATGGCTGACATCGAATTACACCAGCAGGGTGAGGACCCTGAAATCCGTTGTACATCAGAAATCGGCGATGGATGGCCTTTCGCTGTTCGTAAAGGCGGTCTAAGGGAGGTCCCATGTGTAGGGGCCATGAATTCCACCTTGTTGCAGCTATCGCAGGATCTGGCGGGTGCTGTGGATTCCGCTTTCTGCCCTGCAGCTCAAGGAGGGTGTGCTTTGCGGTGTAGGAAATGAAATGCACCAGCAAAGTTTACGTGATGGACACTGAAAGTGGTCACATGGGAGAGGTGGCGATGGACCCAATGGGAGGCCGTATGAGGGACCCATGAGGAGGCTCTGGCCCAGCAGCATGAGGCGGCATGGGGCCATGGCAGATTAGGGGCCTGGCAGCAGCAGGGAGGCCCATGTAATCTGCCAGCACCCTATGTCAAAAAAATTGAACCACACCAGCAGTGTTGTGAGGAGACCTGAAAAGTGGCACGATGGCAGAGTTCATTGTGGCGATGGAGACAGCAGCAATGGGAGGACTACGTACAGGGACCATGATGACACCTCTGGACACCTTGCAGCAGCTCTGCATGAGGAAGCGCAGCCGGCAGGTAATAGGGGCCCATGGCAGATTAGGGGCCTGGCAGCAGCTATGGGAGGCCCGTAATCTGCCAGCACCCTATGTCAAAAAATTCAACACACCAGCAGTGTGTGAGGAGACCTGAAAAGTGGCACATGGCAGAGTGTGGCGATGGAGACAGCAGCAATGGGAGGCCGTACAGGGACCCATGAGACACTCTGGACCCTGGCAGCAGCATGAGGAGGCGGTAGGCGCTTTATAGGGGCCCATGGCAGATTAGGGGCTGGCAGGCAGCAGCTATGGGAGGCCCGTAATCTGCCAGCACCCTATGTCAAAAAAAAATGGAACACACCAGCAGTGTGTGAGGAGACCTGAAAGTGGCACATGGCAGAGTGTGGCGATGGAGACAGTCTAGCAGCAATGGGAGGCCCGTACAGGGACCCATGAGAGACTCTGGACCTGGCAGCAGCATGAGGAGGCGCGGTATATAGGGGCCCATGGCAGATTAGGGGCCTGGCAGCAGCTATGGGAGGCCCGTAATCTGCCAGCACCCTTATGTCAAAAAATTGGAACACACACAGCAGTGTGTGAGGAGACCTGAAAGTGGCACATGGCAGAGTGTGGCGATGGAGACAGCAGCAATGGGACTGTACAAGGGACCCATGAGAGACTCTGGACCTGGCAGCAGCATGAGGAGGCGGTATAGGGGCCCATGGCAGATTAGGGGCCTGGCAGCAGCTATGGGAGGCCCGTAATCTGCCAGCACCCTATGACAAAAAATGGAACACACCAGCAGTGTGAGGAGACCTGAAAGTGGCACATGGCAGAGTGGGCACATGGAGACAGCAGCAACTGGGAGGCCGTACAGGGACCAGAGAGACTCTGGACCTGGAGCAGCATGAGGAGGCAAGGGTACAGGGGCCCATGGCAGATTAGGGGCCTGGCAGCAGCTATGGGAGGCCCGTAATCTGCCAGCACCCTATGACAAAAAATTGGAAACACACCAGCAGCAGTGTGAGGAGACCTGAAAGTGGCACATGGCAGAGTGTGTGGCGATGGAGACAGCAGCAATGGGAGGCCGTACAGGGGACCCATGAGACACTCTGGACATGGCAGCAGCATGAGGAGGCGGTACAGGGGCCCATGGCAGATTAGGGGCCTGGCAGCAGCTATGGAGGCCCGTAATCTGCCAGCACCCTATGACAAAAAATGGAAACACACCAGCAGTGTGTGAGGAGACCTGAAAGTGGCAATGGCAGTAGTGTGGGCGATGGAGACAGCAGCAATGGGAGGCCGGTACAGGGACCCATGACCGAGCACCCTGGCAGCAGCATGAGGAGGCGGTACAGGGGCCCATGGCAGATTAGGGGCCTGGCAGCAGATATTGGGAGGCCCGTAATCTGCCAGCACCCTATGACAAAAAATTGAACACACCAGCAGTGTGTGAGGAGACCTGAAAGTGGCACATGGCAGAGTGTGGCGATGGAGACAACAGCCAATGGGGAGGCCGTACATGGACATGAGACACTGTGGACCTGGCAGCAGCAGCATGAGGAGGCGGTACAGGGGCCCAATGGCAGATTAGGGGCCTGGCAGCAGCTATGGGAGGCCCGTAATCTGCCAGCACCCTATGACAAAAAATGGAACCACACTAGCAGTGTGTGAGGAGACCTGAAAGTGGCACATGGCAGAGTGTGGCGATGGAGACAGCAGCAATGGACAGCTTTGCTCGAGTACAGGCTACAGGTACCCTGAGAGACTCTGGGACCGCCCATGGCAGCAGCATGAGGACAATGCGGTCTATAGGGGCCCATCATTCAGTTTTAGGGGCCTGGCAAGCCCCAGCTATGGGAGGCCCCCCCCTATGGTAATCTGCCGTGCACCCTATGTCAAAAAATTGAACACACATTGTATGACAGCTTGTCCATGTGAGGAGGACCTGAAAGTGGCCCATGGCAGAGATGTGGCGATGGAGACACTTTGGGAGGCCGGGCCAGGGACAATTACTGTGGCATGAGAGACTTCTGACTGTAGCAGCTGGCTGAGGAGGCGGTATAGGGGCCATGGCAGATGTAGGGGCCTGGCAGCAGCTATGGGAGGCCCGTAACTAACATTATGCCAGCAACCTATGTACAAAAAATGGAACACACACAGCAGTTCTGAGGAGACCTGAAAGTGGCTATGGCAGAGTGTGGCTGTGTCTGTGGAAGGGACCCATTCTCTGGAACCCTGTGCATGAGGAGGCGGTACATGGGGCCCATGGCAGATTAGGGGCCTGGCAGCAGCTATGGGAGGCCCGTAATCTGCCAGCACCCTATGACAAAACAATTCTGGAACACACAATTCAGTGTGTGAGGAGACCTGAATCATGTGCCCCTGGCAATGGCTGTGTGTGTCGATGGAGTAACAATTTCTGTGTCCTGTAGTAACGTTTTGCTGCTGCCAAGCTGAAGGCCCTACCGGAGTAACTTTCTTCCTGTGATTAGCGGGAAGTAACAATAGGTGATGTCGACTGCCTGCCCCTAAGTAACGATTCAGCCTCAGTGTGTCATCTGAGTAACAATTCTGGGTCTCCAGTAACTCATTCTGTGTCATAGCCCAAAGTCGGCTATTCGTGTGGGTCCCTGGAGTACAACAGAATTCTGTGTCCCTGGACCTGTGCTACCGAGCCAATTCTCCTGTGGATGGCTCGTAACAATTCTGTGTCCC